ACCAAGCCCCGGAGCCTGTGGAAAAGTGTCCTCCAGGAGCTCAGAACCATCCAGGGCCTTTTAATCTTTGCGTCCAGGGACTTGGATCCTCACTGGTCCTCGGATGTGTTGGCCTACGATGCGTGTGAGTCTGGGCATGCCACGGTGAGGGGGGCCTGGACGGTGGGGGGTGTACAGCAGGTGGGGAAGTGGCACGAGCGCTGGAGGTATAAGAATGAAGACGATCCCGCCCGTGCAAATCCCCGTGGTCACGCTCTGGGTAAATCTTATGACAAACAAACAGATATGGAAGATACGTCAAACAAGGAGATCGATTACAGCGATGTGTATCTAAACCGTGAATTCCCCGACGTCCCCCCCCAGCTTGTGGAGTCAACTCGGTGGACACTGGAAAGATATCAACCGGTGTTTACTCGTGAACCAATTCATGTTACTGAAATGCGGGGCTTCTTGGGATCTATCCGTCAAGCGGTTCGGGATCCTGGAGACTGGGGCAAGTCGTGGCTGATGTTGGGAGACAACTTGGGGCTCATCCTCTCGCTCTCGAAAGGTCGGTGTCGAGATCCTCGTTTACTCATGCTTCACCGTAAGGCAGCAGCGTGGGCTCTAGCTACCAAATCGAGATTTGTATGTAGATGGCTACCCTCTGAGTTAAACCCAGCCGATGGACCATCCCGCAAGAGAGAGCCATCGGCGCCAGCTACGCGACTACCGAGTGGGCCACCCCAGCCACCGGCGGACCGCACCGACGACCTCCCACGTGGTGCAGGCGCTCTCTCGTGTGCCGTTGAGGTCGGGCTATCCACTGACGGACAAGCGGCAGAAGACCGAGCCAGACGTGGAGAGCCTCCGTCGTGCCAACCAGCCTCCTCCTGGGCATCCCATCCTGGGCTTGCTGGAGGCCAAGAGTGCGAGCCTCGACAAGGAGCGGCAGCTTCGGGAGCGTCGTGCTGCACGTCGGCAGGACGTTCACGGGCCGCTCCGGGACACGACGAGGGGACCAGGCATCACCGAGGAGGCCTCGCTGACGCAGAAGACACGAGATCAGTATCAACGACTACTTCACGATTTTCAGGAGCGGCAGCAGATGCAGGACTTGAGTGTGCATCCCGCCATCCTGGACGCGCAGATCGTGATCTACTTCGACAGACTTTTCCTGGAGGGAAAGGCCCCGTCAACGGGGGAGAAGCTCGTCGCGGCCATCCAGTACGTAGTGCCGAGCTACAACGCCAAGGGCATGATGACCTTGCCGCGGGCGACCAGGGCCCTGCGCGGCTGGCGCCGACTGGTGCCACGCCGCACTCGGCGGCCCTTGCCCTGGGAGGTGGTGACCGCCATCGCGATAGGGCTCCTCCGGGTCAACGGCCTGGGGATGGCGCTCTGCTGGCTTCTCATGGTCGACACATACATGCGGCCGGGCGAGTGCCTCGACCTCCAGACCAGCCAGATCCTACGAGGGAATACACAACAACACATGGAGCGAGCTGCGATTCTCTTGCATCCCGCCGAGAAGGGGATGCCCAGCAAGGTCGGGGCCGTAGACGAAAGTCTGATCATCAACCGGGCCTGGCTCTCCGATGCCCTGACCAAGTACGCAGCGAGTCGGCCCCAGCGGGGGCCCCTGTGGGACTTCACACTCAAGGAGTTGAACGCCAGCTTCCTCACCGCCTGCATCCCCGCGGGCATCAGCAGCCTGAAGCCGGTCCTCTACATGGGCCGGCACTCGGGCGCCAGCCTGGACAGGCTGACCAACAGGCTGGACCTCGCCGAGGTGCAACGTCGAGGGCGCTGGCGGACGGGAGCGTCGGTGCGCCGCTACGAGAAGCGGGCGCTCGTGCAGGAAGTCTACAATGGGCTCGACCAGAAGTCCAAGGCCTACTGCAACAGGAGCGCCAGCGAGCTGGAGGCGGCTATCGCTCGAGCCTGCGGCCACGTCAGAAGCATCAGAGGCGTGGGTTCTTCATGATCGAGGTGTTCAGTGGCTGCGGGGCTTTCTCCAAGGCCGCTAGGCGCCGCGGGGTGGAGGCCTTCCCCTTTGACGTCCTGCAGGGAGCCGCAGGGGACGTCACCCGCCGCCCAGTGCAGCGACGCATCCGACGGCTTCTGGCTCATCCTCGCTGTTTGGGCATCCTCCTGGCACCGCCGTGCACCACGTACAGCAACGCCCGGAGGCCAATGATCAGAAGTCGTGAATTCATCGAGGGCCTTCCGACGAACACTCCGTCGGAGCAGGCCCAGATCGCAGCAGGTACTTTTTTCATGCAGCTGACGGCCCAGCTCTGCAGGTTCGCTGTGAAGTGTGGAGTTCCTTGGGTGATCGAGAATCCTCAGACAAGTCTGATCTGGCACACTGTCGAGTTTCGCAGTCTTCGTAATCTTGCCAAACAGCAGTCGCTCACGACTCACCTCTGTGGTTTCGGAGCGCGGTGGAAAAAACCTACGACGTTGTGGTCCTGGGGTGTGGAGAACATGTACAAGATGTTGCACAAGTGCCCCAGTTTTGGTTGTCAACCCTGTATCTTCTCGGCGAAACCTCATATCGTGCTATCGGGACCAGACCCCACAGGGGTCCGCTGGACAAAACGAGCTGCTGCATACCCTCCTCGGTTTGCATCCGTCTTGGCCGGCCTCTTTCTCGACTCCGGTTTCACCAAGCTGTTGCAGGAATCAAAGCAATCTTATTTTCCAGTGGTGCCATGGGTGAGCGAAAGACTCAGACATGCTTCGTGATCGTGAACCGCATACGGAGTTTGCGAATTTCGGGCTGTGTACTCTGGGCTTCGCCTTGCACGTCCCTGGAATATCATGGCCGACCAGCTCGCCTACGAGATTTTCAACAGATGTGGGTTCAAGAAAAACAGAATGGCACGATCGATGGGTTTGCTCTGCATGGGATTCGAGAGTAGAAGTGAGTTATTCGCTCCGCAGCTTTTCTCTCACCGTCCACAGGCCCCACCACCACCCTCTTTAAAGTGGCTCCCCCAAGTTTTTGGTGTCTCCCAGGGCCCTCCGAGGTCAACCCCGAGGGCCCTATAAATATACCGATCTGCGCTTCTCACCCTGGCACCACACAAGTGGGCTGTGTACTCTGGGCTTCGCCTTGCACGTCCCTGGAATATCATGGCCGACCAGCTCGCCTACGAGATTTTCAACAGATGTGGGTTCAATAAAAACAGAATGGCACGATCGATCCTCCTCCTCCTCCTCCTCCTCCTCCTCCTCCTCCTCCTCCTCCTCTCCTCCCCTCCTCCTCCTTCCTCCTCCTCCTCCTCCTCCTCCTCCTCCTCCTCCTCCTCCTCCTCCTCCTCCTCCTCCTCCTCCTCCTCCTCCTCCTCCTCCTCCTCTCTCTCATCCTCCTCCTCCTCCTCCTCTCCCCCCCCTCCTCCTCCTTCTCCTCCTCCTCTCCTCTCCCCTCCTCCTCTCCTCCTCCTCTCCCTCCTCCTCCTCCTCCTCCTCCTCCTTCCTCCTCCTCCTCCTCCTCCTCGCCCCTCCCCCTCCCCCTCCCGCTCCCCCTCCCCCCTCCCTTCCTCTCTTTGGCGGGCGGGGCGAAATGGGGGGATTGGGGAAAGGGGGGGTTACGAAATCTGCTGCATGCAGCTGGTTTCGGCCTCACCGAGGGGCCCATGCCTCGATACATGGCCGCCTCCGGCGCCGGGAGGCGCCGGGAAAATCAGCTACGCGAGCTGATTCTCAAACCCCCCCTTTGCTATCCCCCCCTTTCGCCCGACCCGATATTCTCGGGGTCGGCAAAGAGAGGTCAGGGCCCCCCAAAATCATCAGGGGCAACTCGGGTCAGGGCTAACTCGGGTTCGTTCTTCGGGAACCCGAACCCGAGTTACCCCGGACCCGAGTCACCCCGGACAGTTCGGGCGTCCAGAGCCCCAGAATCATCAGGGGCAACTCGGGTCAGGGCTAACTCGGGTCCGTTTTTCGGAATTCCGAACCCGAGTTGCCCCGGACCCGGGTTGTCCCGGACAGCTCGGGCGTCCAAAGAGGGGGGTGGGGGGGGGATGCCTGGGCTGCGGGGGGGGGGGATCTCATGGCGGGGGCCGTGGTGTCTCCCCAGACCTCATGGCGCCCCTTCTTGTTTCAATAATACGTCGCTGGCTTCCCCCTGGGCCGCGCACATTCCGCCGGCCATGATTGGCGCACACCCCTCTTGGACGCCCCCCTCTTGGCCAACCCCGATATCCAGGGAAACGAAAGATGACATAAACATGAAAACTCGGAGGTCCGCGCGGATTTCTCGGATCGGCGCTGGGGCCCCTTGGCGGCGCCTCCGGCGCCGCCCCTGACGCGCTCCGCGCGCCAGGGATGGGGGTCCAGCGCGGATCCAAGAAATTCGCGCGGACCTCCAAGTTTTCATGTTCATGTCATCCTTCGTTCCCCTACTATTGGGCGTTCCTCGTTGTGTTGGCGGGAAGGGGGAAGTGAGAAGGGGCGGGCCTTCTCAGAAGGCTGGGAAGTCCCCCGGCCTTCTGAGAAGCGTTCTAAGCCATCCCTGAAGACACAAGAAAAACTGCTCAGAAGCCCTCGCACCGCCTTCTGACAGGGCCCTCTCCTTCTCCCTTCCCCCCCTCGCTCGCCGCCGACGACGTTTCTTCTTCGGCGCTCCTCATTGTGGCACGATGTTTCCCACCTTGCACGGCTCTCTGCCAGCCGCGCCCCCTGGGTCCCTCAGGGGCCAAAAGTGATCAACGACCTAAGATATCCTCCTCCTCCGCCTCCTCCTCCGCCTCCGCCTCCTCCTCCTTCTCCTCCTCCTCCTCCTCCTCCTCCTCCTCCTGCTCCTCCTCCTCCTCCGCCTCCGCCTCCTCCTCCTCCTCCTCCTCCTCCTCCTCCTCCTGGTCCTCCGCTTTCTCCTCCTCCTACTCCTGCTCCTCCTCCTCCTCCTGCTCCTCCTCCTCCTCCTCCTCCTCCTCCTCCTCCTCCTCCTCCGCCCCACGCCCGACGAGCGCCCGAAGCGAGCGCCCGCCGCAGCCGCGGGGCCCCCGCCAGAGGCCGCGTTCTGCCTCGTGGCCGGCGGCCTCGGGGAGCGCCTCGGCTTCCCAGGCGAGGCGCCCGGCGCCGGGCCTTCTCCGAGGGTTCGCCAGGCAGCGAGAAGCTGCAGGGACATTCGAGCACAGTCGACCCTCCTCTCCTCCTCCTCCTCCTCCTCCTCCTCCTCCTCTCCTCCTTTTCCCTCTCCTCCTCCTCCTCCTCCTCCTCCTCCTCCTCCTCCTCCTCCTTTCCCTCTCCTCCTCCTGCTCCTCCTCCTCCTCCTCCTCCTCCTCCTGCTCCTGCTCCTGCTCCTCCTCCGCCTCCTCCTCCTCCTCCTCCACGCGTCTTCCTCCACGCGTTCTCCCCCTCCTCCTGCTGCTCCTCCTCCTCCTGCTCCTCGTCCTCCTCCTCCTCCTCTTCCTCCTCCACGCGTCCTACATCCGTCGGGTCCACGGAAAAATAGATTGAGTGCTCCGTCAATCTGCAGAGCATTCTGTGATTTGGTCGTAGATTCGACGATTATGTTCCTGGTCTTTGAGACGACTTCGCCGTGCACAGCCTACGGCCGCGTCAGGCGGGTTATGCGCTGGGTGGGGATCCTGGAGACAGCGCTGAGCGCTGAATTTGTCTCGCTTCTTCTGCGCGCAAAACGGACGCGTCCTGTCACTCAAGGGGCACACCTTCGCAGGCCTTCCACCCGAGGCGGGTGTGCGCCAGGGCTCCGCTGTCCCCGCCGATGTACGCACTGGTGGCGGAGGCGTTGCTGGACGAGCTCGAGATGAATACCAACGACATCCCGTGATGTCGCGGTGCGCACCGTCGCAGACGACAGCGATCCTGATCTGAAAATTCGGCGGCGAGCGAAGGGGGGAGGGGGGAACGAGGAGGCCCTCTCAGAAGGCGGCGGGGCTTCCCAGAAGCCCTCGCGCCTTCTTAGAAGTTGTCCTGTGTCTTCGGGGAAGGCTGAGGCAGCTTATGAGAAGGCCAGTGGATTCCCAAGCCTTCTGAGAAAATCATTTCCTTCTCACTTCCCCCCCAGCTCGCCGCCGAAAACGTGTTGCGCGCGCTCCCGCAACTTCGACGTCTCGCTGCGGAGTTTGCTGCAATAACGGGCTTGGGATTGAGCCTGCGGAAGTCGGTCGTGGTTCCTTTGGCCCTGGCCTGGCTGGAGCACAACGATGCTGGGTCCTCCTTGGAGCGCGCTTCAGCCTGGAAAGACATGCCTGCCCATCAGTCGGCAAAATGCAGTCGGAGCGCTGACCCAAGGAACCCAAAATAAGGAACGAGGCCCCTTTTCTTCAGAAGTTGAACTTCGATTTCCTTCCGGAAACCTAAGGAAAACGTGGGGCAAAGTGTGCAACAATTAAGAAACACGGATTCCCTATCAAACGAAAAGAATTCCTTCTTCAGCGCCCCGACTGCATTTGGGATTCATCAGGAGGCCTGGCAAGGGGTAACGAGACATGGACCGCGCTTCTGGCCAAGTTCCAGAAGCGCTTGCGCATGTGGCAAGACGCGCCACTTGGGCTGCACTGGCAAGCACGTTTTTTCCCTACCTAGGCTCTGCCTGCAGGGGTTCTTACTTTATAAGCTTAAAGGGGCCGGGCAGTGGTTCCCGCCCCGGGCGGTTCCCCCAGGATCCGCCCCGCGGTTCCCCCAGTCCCCTGGGAGCGGTTCCCCCAGTCCCCTGGGAGTTTTAGCTTTAGCTTTAGCTTTGGCTTAGCTTTGGCTTAGCTTTAGCTTAGCTTTAGCTTATATTTAGCTTAGCTGTAGATTAGCTGTAGCTTAGCTGTAGCTTAGATTTAGCTTAGCTTTAGCTTAGAGTTAGCTTAGCTTTACCCTAGCGTTAGCTTAGCTTTAGATTAGCTTTAGCTTAGCTTTAGCTTAGATTTACCTCAACTTTACCTTAGCTTTACCTTAGCTTTAGCTTAGCTTTAGCTTATATGTAGCTTAGCTTTAGCTTAGCTTCAGCTTAGCTGTAGCTTAGCTTAGCTTTAGCTTATATTTAGCTTAGCTGTAGCTTAGCTTTAGCTTAGCTTTAGCTTAGTTTTAGCTTAGCTTTAGCTTAGCTTTACTGTTACTACTAATGCTGCTTCCTTAGGGGCTCCAACTCCTAGGTAGGGCCGCACTGGGATAATTATTCAACATATGTATGTTGCCGAAGTTGAGTTACGCGGCGCAGCTGGAGTGGCCCGACACTCACGTGCAGGAAGCAGTGCAAGAGTGTATTGGGACGGCAGCGCCGCCCGCGCTGTTCTTCTTGGTTTCTGGACTCACTGCCTAGGCCTCTCCCCGATGGGCCACGGGCTCTTGCCGGAGGTGCACGGCGGGGCGATGTCGTTCCTCACATTGGCGTGGATGACCGCGGCGTCGCCAACACGCGCCCTACACGGAGGCATGGACAGCCAGCGTCAGTTCAGGGAGGGTCGTGCTCAGCTGCGACAAGCCTGAACTAGGCAGCCTGAACCAATGCGGATGCCCCGGGGGTAGCGGTTGGTGTTCACGCAGGTTCTTGTTCCGCTTCCTAGGTGCAGAGCACGATTTGCAGGCGCGTTTTGGCGCGGTGACCGATGTCCGCGCCGCGGGGTCGCGTCCTCTGTCCCGCGTGCGGACGATGCTTCAGTGCACGAGCACTTCCAGGCCACTTGCTACAATTGCCATGTGGCAGACAACTGCGCCGACCAAGGTGGCCCGTTCCGGGATAAGCTCGAGGCCTGGAGCTTGGGAGATGCCGGCTTCCACGGACAGATTCCAGGCACGGTTCGCCAGCAGACGCCGCGCCACCAGGAATCAGAGGGCACTCGAATGTTCTGGTTTTGAGTCCGTTGTCCATTGCGCGACTTGGGGGTGTCGTTGGAATCGGTGGACCACGGCGAGAGACCAGCGACGCCACCAGAGCCGCTGCTTGCTGTGCGAGGTGCGGTGGAGGCGAGCGAAAACAGCATCACCCACTACAGCCGCTGCCAGGTGGTGCGGAGGCTGCTCGGAACACGATGCCGTTTGGACTCCAGCGAAGCTTCACGCTTGCACGCGCGGACGGCTTGCACACCAGAGTTGGAGATTACATGGGATCTCTCCTGAGTAGCCCTCGCCATCTAATTACGCCGTCTGGTGCAACCAACAAGTCTTGTCACGCCTGTCGCGGCGCACTCTGCGAAAGGAGGGCAGATTTCAGGCTTTGTCACAAGCCGTCAAGGCGGGCGTCACATGAAACTGGCGCGCAGCTGCTATCTTGCGGCAGCGCTGGGAGGCAGACCGCCCGCGGATTACCAGGCAAGCTGGACTGGTCGGGGCGCCGACGATTAATAGTTTCCGACAATGGTTTCAAAGCCACCGCCGACGGCGTGTCTGACAGTCAGCCTTCCGTAGTGTGATGGTTCCAGTTTCTCGTCCTTCTCCTCCGGGTCCTCCTCCTCCTCGTCCTCCTCCTCCTCCTCCTCTTGCTCCTCCTCCTCCTCCTCCTCCTCCTCCTCCTCCTCCTCCCCCTCCTCCTCCCCCTCATCCTCCTCCTCCTCCTCATCCTCCGCATCTTCTTGTCCTGGTCCGGAAACTGCATCGTCACTCCCTTTGCCTGGCCGAGGCCCCCCCCACCTTTTGCGGCGGGGCGATCCGCAGGTCTTTCTGCCCTGCCTTGCCGTTGCTACATCACGTGGGTGCCTGCTTTTGTCCCGCGTTCTGCGGGCAGCGGCGCCCTCTGTCTGCAGGATGTGCTGACTCGGCCAGCGAGGCCGCGAGGCGCGAGAGCGTCGTGCCGCACAGGAGCGCCCCAGCCGCCTGGGGGGCAGCGTCGCTCCAGCATCGCTCCAGGGGGCGTTGCCTCCGCCCCCCCTCCTGTCCTTCATGGGTTCATCCGCATGTGTCTTTTCCCTGGCTAGCCAGAGGGCTCGCGACTCAGCCGAGACGCTTCTCAATGGCGGCCCTCCGTGGCTGTAGTTGCCCGTCTCTGGTCCAGGCGTTGTGCGTCCGCTGCGTTCTGGGCCACCCGTCTGCTTCCGTCGTGCGTGCCTCAGCGATGCTGCGCTATTCAAACGGGGAGGTTCGTCGCGTTCAAACGAAATGCTGTGATTCAAACGCGATGCTGCGCTATTCCAAAGCGATGCTCCGTCTCTGCGACTTCTACGTCGTGTGCAGGGCGGCCTACGTGTACCTGCGGGAGCTGTAGAGGGCGGCGACACGGTGGACCTGCGGGGGCGGCCCCCGTCTCTTGCTATGTGGGAGGGTCGGCACGTCTCTGCCCAACGTCCCGTTCTCCACTACGACTGGCGTTTTCTCGCTCGTTGTCCGCTCCTGTCCGCCCCGCCTTGCGGCCTCTTCAACGTCTGGGGGTGCCCCACTATGCATTGGTTGCACGTTGCCTGGTGCATGGTTCGATGTAATGTTGAATTGTCAGTGCTGTGGTATTGCCCTCCTTTGCCCTCCCCTCTCCTCGCCCCGCGCGCTTGTCGTTCGTCTGTCGTCTGTCGTTTTCGTCGTCGCATCGTGTCGTCCCCCTGCACTCTGCCACTGGGCTCCCATCCGCTGCTTCATATACACACATAGATATGTGATAATACTACTAGTGATACGAGTGCGAATAATAATACTAATAATGCTAATCATACGAACGCTAATATTAATAACAATAATAAAATAATAATACTAATAATACTATTAGTAATATTAAGAATACGAATAATAATACGAATGATACTAATACTAATAATCATACGAATAATATTAGTAATAAGAATAAGAATAATAATAGTGATACGATTATTAATAATAATAGTAATAATACGAATAAGAAGAAGAGGACTGAACCAAGTGTTACTGCCCAGTCGGTGTCGGTGACGCGGTGCTTGCTCAGGGTTGCACGGCGGGTGGCCGTCCCCGCAGGTCCGGAGGGCCGTGGTCGGCGCTCGGGCGCAGCATTGGGGTGGTGGTCGCAGCGGTTCGCATTCCTCCAGGGCTTCCGGCCGCCCGCTGGCTCTTCAGGGTGCCCAGCACCACTCAGGAGGGAACAGAAGCACACAGACACGATGAATCGTCGATTCCCCAGAAAGTATGGGAAGTGGGGGGGAAGACAAAAACCCAGGAAATATTTGAAAATATGGGGAATCTGGTTATGTGTGTCTATTTATTTGTGTGTCCCAGTTCCCCATTCAACCACTCAGATGTATGACAGGCTGATTTATGTCCATGCTAATTGCCGCTTGGTGGCAGGGACCAGCGGTCCTCCCCTCCCCCCCTCCTGGTCCTCCCTCCCCGAGGGCGACTCCCCGCCAGGTGCGAGGGCCCCCTGCGCGTCAGGAGGATGAGGCCCCACTGGTGCCTGTACCACGGCTGGCGATGGCGAGGACGATTCCGACAATTTCTTCTCGGTGTGGCGGCAATCCCTTCCATTGCCGCCGTTGTTCGCGCTGTAAGCACTCAGGAGGCGCTGGGCGTGGAATTCTAACTAGATCTGATTATTTGCGTTGGTGTGCCCGATGTTATGGAGGTGGCCGTCGGGGCCTCACGGGTCTCCCACAGCGTTGCAGCCCTCTTCCCCAAACCTTGCAACGTTCAGCTCCTAGCCTGATGACACGGCCGCTCTGCACCGAATAGTCAGGTCTGCATGAGCAGTAAGTCTCGGCGGTCCACGCGGATTTTGTGGATCGGAGCAGGACCCACACACCGTCGCCTCCGACGCCGCCCCTGGCGCGCTCTCCGCGCCAGGGAGGGGAGCCCAGCGCCGATCCTGCGCGCGGACTTCCAAGAAATTGTCATCATGTTGTGTTGTTCCGTTCCTCCATTGAGATCGGCGGCTCAGAGGTGGAGCCCAGACCGATGGTCAGGGGCAATGCCAGGGGCTGATAGGCGATAGGCCCAGTGGGTGGGAACCGTTCCGAGGTCCACTATGTTCGCAAACTGTATTACGTTTATTTTCGGCTCTGTTCCAGTTTCGGGGTGCTTTCCAGCGTCTGCGTCTCGCCGAGGACGTTCCCGAGGTTCACCACCTACCAAACCACCCCAACCCAACCCGAAGGCCTCAATTTGCCCTCCATTTCCAGTGGGGGGGGGTCGGGGAACGCTGAAAAAACACATGGAACCCGTACCCCCCCCAACCCGAAATTCGGGTCAAATTCGGGTCTTCGGGTTGGGTTGGTGTGGTCTGGTAGGTAGTCAGAGGTGCCCGGTGTCGTGCCGAAGCGCCGCCGGAGACTTGAGTTATATGGCCCGAGCGCCGAGGAGCGGCCGCCGGAGACCCGAGCTGCGACAAGAGAGCCAGACGACGATGCTCACGGGGAGAGGAGGCGGAGGAGGAGGAGGAGGAGGAGGAGAAGGAGGAGGAGGAGCAAGGAGGGGAAGGAAGGAGGGGGAGGAGAGGAAGAAAGAATGAGGGGGAGGAGGAGGAGGAGGACGAGGACGAGGGAGAAGGAGGACCAGGAGGGGACGAGGACGAGGAGGGGGAGGAGACGAGGACGATGGTAGAGGAGGAGGAGGAGGAGGAGGAGGAGGAGGAGGGAGAGGAGGAGGAGGGGGGGGAGAGGAGGAGGGGGAAGGAGGAGGAGGAGGGGAAGGAGGGAGGAGGAGAAGAGGAGCCCAATAGACCACTCCGCCCAGGAACCTGCGGCTTCGCCCTCGAAGGCCTATCGCCGAGTTGTCGGCGATGCATCGCAGATTCCAGGAGGAGGAGGAGGAGGAAGAGGAGGAGAGAGGAGGAGGAGGAGGAGGAGGAGGAGGAGGAGGAGGAGGAGGAGGGAGGAGAGAGGGAGGAGGAGGAGGAGGAGGAGGAGGAGGGAGGAGGAGGAGGAGGAGGAGGGGGGGAGGAGGAGGAGGAGGAGGAAGGGGCCCCCCCCCACTGAGCGACCCCCCCTCCCGACGATGCCCCTCCCATTAGGCCCTGAGGATCCTCCTCCTCCTCCTCCTCCTCTCCTCCCCCTCCTCCTCCCCTCCTCCTCCTCTCCACTGGCGCCCAGAACGCCACGGGGGACGGAGGTCCGCACCCCCGCCGCGCCCACAGGCAGGTGGCCCCTCTGCGCATGACCCCCCCCCCCCCGGAGTGCCGGGAGAGGCTGCGGTACGCGCTGGGCGCCACGGCAGGGGGGGGGGTAGGGGCAGGGTCCGCATGTGGCCCCTATCCCCCTCCTCCCCTCCTTCCTCTCCCTCCTTCTCCTCCTCCTTCCTTCTCCTCCTCCCTCCTCTCCCTCCCTCCTCCTACTCCTTCCTCTCCTCCTCCTCCTCCTCCTCCTCCTCCTCCTCTCTCCTCCTCCTCCTCTCCTCCTCCCTCGGCACCGCCAAGGGAAGAGAGCCCCGGCTCCGCATGGCGCCAGAAGGAGGGGCCCTCTACGCCGGGGGCGCCGAGGGGCGAGTTCTGCACCGCTCGGGCGCCACATGGAGGGGTTGTGTGTCCGGAGGCCGCCGCAGTGAGAGAGCCCTGTACCCTTGGAGCTTGAGCGCCGCCAGTGGCCCAGAATCGGTCAGTATGGAGTGCTCTGGCGATCGAGAAGCCGTCGATCGTTGAATGTTGAACGATCCACGCGGTGTCAGAAAACAAGGCCCGGGTCGGCACGACACGAACCCTCCACAGGTTCTCTCTCGCGGGCGCGCGCTCTGCGGCATTCGCGCGACGTCGATGTTCGGTGAGGCGCCGAAGGGGTGAGGCGAGAGGGGGCCGACCTTCTCAGCAGGCGGCGGGGCGTCTCAGAAGCCCTCGCGCCGTTTGAGAGGCCACCACAGTGGCTTCCGAGAATGCTCACAGCACTTCCCCGAAGGGCGGGGGCCCTCTGAGCGTTCTGAGGTTGCCCGCCCCCTCTGCCTTGCCCCCGAAGCGTGCCGCCGAGGAACGAGCAAAAGGGTTATGATGCGTTCCGACGTCTGCTCATTCTGATCCCCGCCATTCTGGATTGGTGGTAGGGGATGAGTTGCGCGATGTGCGTAGCATGTGCCAGCGCGTGTGCTTGGCTTCTCGGCGGGAGCCACAGGCATCAAGATCAGCATCACGGCAGAGCTTGCCACGGGCGCTTGTTTCCTCAAGATGTACGTTGATTTCATATTGGCATTCCAGGCGCTCTCTGACCATAGGTTCGTGTGTAATTGTGTGTTCTCGCATACGCGCATTTTGTTTTTCGTAGTAGATTATTTCTCTCCGTTGCAATTGTAGTCAGATCGCATTCATGGTTGAGCCAGCTGGGAGGTTGTCCTCGTTCGTTGCATGTGCTTCAGCAGACCACGGGACACACAGGGTCAGCCGTCGCGTTTTCAGCACATTCGACTGGCAGGGTTGAGTGGCCTGCCTGTGCCTCACAGGCCCGCCTACGATCCGATTTGATGAGATTCGATCTTCGGGCTGTGCCCGAGATTCCAATTCAATTCGGTTCGGTTCACTTGCATCGGCCTGGGCCATCTGTAGCAAAGCGTGGCACGTCGATTTCGATTCGTTTTGGGGACTATTCATTGGTGATCCGATCCGTTTCCGAATCGATTCGAATTCGCGATTCGATCCCGTTCAGGCCTGCGCCTCCTCCTCCTTATCATCATACTCACCATCATCATCAGCATCATCAACATCATCATCACCATGTTCAACAATCATCATTATCATGGTATGTACCATCAGTATCACCATCATGATCAGCAGCATCATCGTTACCATCGTCAGCACCACTATCATCATCATCATCATCATCATCATCATCATCATCATCATCACCAACATAACCCTCATCATCACCATCATTGTATCATCATCAGCAGCATCAAGACCACTATCACCATCATCATCACCATAATCGTCATTACCATCACCACCATCATCAACACCATCACCATGATCATCACCATCACCAACACCATCATCATCCGTTCTCGTTCCTCCTCCTGCTCCACCTTTCCCTCCTCCTCCATCAGCGCCAGAAGGCAGACTGCAGGCATGGGGTCGCGGTGCGCGTGCCTCCGCGGATCTGCAGCGCATCTCTCTGATGCGTACTTGTGGTGCCAGCAGTTGAAGGAAGAGGTGGGAGAGGAGGAGGAGGAGGAGGAGGAGGAGGAGGAGGAGGTGGAGAAGGAAGAGTACCGGCAGCAGGAGCAGGGTTGCGAAGGAGAGGGACTTCACTGCCTGGCTGGCGCATACTCTTTGCCCTTGCGGGCCCACGATCTTGTTCCATCTCTTCACGACTCTCTTTATGCCGCTGCGCCAGCCAGGCGCAGTTCTTTGTTTCCTTGAGGGCTCGCACTGTGCTTGCACGATGCAACAAGCTCGCGCTTCATGTATACAGTCAACCCACATAGCAAGGATAGGCATCCCTCCCAAGGGTACCCCCTTGCATCCTCGCCTTCTGGGTCCATCCTTGGACACTTTCGTTGGCCGCGCCCCGCTCGAGACGCTTCGAAAGGGGCGTCCAAGGCCCTTGCATCCTTATCGCGCATCCTTCCTATACTGGTTGACTGCAGCCAACGTTACGAGGTGGAGGAAGAGGATCGGCTGCGCGCTCAGGGGGGGCGAAACAGAGGGGGCGGGCCTTGTCCGACGGCTCAGACGGCCTCCAGCCGTCTGAGACGCCCCTAAGCCTTCCCTCAGTACAGTCGGGGCGCTGAAGAAGGAACCCTCTCTGTTGGGTTCCTTATATAGGGTTCCTTAGGTCAGCGCCCCGACTGTATCGTTTAACCGATCCCAATCCCCATCCCCGTCCCCTTCGAGGCCCCCACCAAATCGACGCCCCAGTTGGGGATGTACCCCTCGAAACCCGAAGAGAGCGACCTACATCCCCATCTTAGGGGGGTACATCGGGGAGTGGGGCCCAGGCCACGCCGCTGGGGATGGGGATTGGCCAAACGATACGCATTCCCAGAAGACAGAAACGGCTTCTCGGAAGGCCAGAAGATTTCTGAGGGGCCACACTGCCTGCTGAGAGGGCCCGCACCCTCATTTCCCCCCCTCGACGTGCCGCCGAGATGTGGATCAACCAGCTGAGGAGCAGGAAGTGGAGGAACTAGAGCACGTAAAGATGTTCGCCCCGCCCTCAGCTGACGTCCCACCTGGGTGCATCCGACGACGTCACGAGTCCCAGCTTTTGCTGTTTCGGTTGCCAGCTTAGGGCACGGCAGCAAAAGCGAAGCTGGGATCAAACGGAGCAGCGTCCCCGAGTGGCATCCCCCGAAAACATGCCGGAGCCTCTCGATGGCCTCTATCCTGCTGGCGCACTGTTGTTGGAGGGGCTGGCTGGAGGGGCTGGGGCCCTCGTTGGCCTCTCTGGGTGTGTATCGGGCCGTGTACCTCCCTACACGAATCGATGTCTGCTGGCCTCTCGCGTGCTCGCGTGAAGCGCCGCCGCTGCCAATTGCGCGGCGGCCTCCCCGACATGCCCCTGTTGCCGTGGCCACGACGCACGGCCCACAGCTGCGGTCTAGCGTGTTCGCTCCGCCCGGCCTGGCCCTCCGCGCGTCGGCGCGGCGCTCTCGCCGCGCCTCCGCCCCGACGCGTCCACGTGCCGAGATCCGCCCGGCCTCCCGCCCCTTCTGAGCGGAGCGACGCGCCACCCGCTTGCAGAGCATGGGGCGTCGCCTGGGCCGCCGCGGTGACGCGCTGCGCGAGAGTACCTGCCACTAGGCATTGTTCTGGTGCGCATCGTGAGTGGGGTCCTCTCGGAACCATGTCCCGTAGGCCACCGATGAAAGAAGGAATTCGCTCAGTTCGAGCTTGCCCAGTCGGAGCCCGAACGATCACCCCTTGGAGCTAACTTGGGGCCCTCCCGGGGTGCTCCAGGAGCGCATCTGGGGCCGTCTTGGGGCCCTTTCGGTACCTGTCTCGGAGCTCTCTCGGGCAATGCAGGGGACGTGTTGGGGCCTGGGACGCCCATCAGGAGCGACTGGCGAGAATGCACAAGTCTTTGCATACATCAGGTCCCCCATATCCTAAATTTGAGGCTCCTGTTAGTAGTGTCTCGCTTCCGCCACCCCACCTCACCTCCTTTATCCCCCTCCTTGCTCCTCCCTCTGATCACTCAGGCGCACCCACAGACAGACCCTTCCACACACGTTCATCCTTATTTCCTATTCGTATATACTCCTAGTCTGCCACACAATTCCGATTGCCACCTAATCCAGGAACCCCGATCTTACATGGTATGTGTATTGCAAAGTCCACATGTTTGTCGGCGACATGCACACTACGTCGTCCATGTTGCAATATGCGTGGCTGGACAGGGACAGGACGACATCTTGCGCGAAAAGCCTAACCGTCGCTTTCGCTCTGACGCCACGCAATTGAGCTCCTGCTTGGTGGCGGCGCACATAGTTCGTACGCGGTTTCGTTGGCGCGCGAGCGAACGAAACTACCGGTTTCGCAACAGCGCCGCCCAGATTGCGCCTGCAAGTGGTGTTCCCGATTCGGCACGCGCACATGTTTTCACTCGCCAATGCTTCGGGGCCCGAGCAAGCAGGCGACTTGTCGCCTTCGCTGAAAATCCGTGCGCACTTCGCTGAGAATTGGCGTTTCCGCGCGGGCGCGGCGCACGGCTCGTTCGCCGAAGCGCAGCGAAGCGGCAGCGGCAACGGGGCGCGAGAGAGCGGGCGAATTGCCGTTTTCTTGCCCGAGCACCGCGCAGCGGATGAGTGTCAGAGGCAGTGCTGTGCCAGCGCGGCACGTAAACCGTTTTCGCCGCGCCCATCGGACGTTGTGTTGTTCCCGCTCCTGCGCGGTCCGCGTAGTTGTCCCTTCGCCAAGTCGTCGTAGCCGAGACTGCGTTCGAACGCCTTCCGTTCGCCAGGTATGAACGCGCTCCAATCCCAATACCAGGTTGTGCCACAACTGCTTGTTATGTTACGGGGGGAGGATGGGGATATGTGGGGCCCCTTTGACTCGCTCGGCTTGGCTATTTGGGCACGCGGTCGTACCCAGATTTCGCCATGCGCACCATTCACATTCAGTGTCACGGATGCACATGCCCAACCACACGCAAGGCCAATTATATCCAGGCCACACATGTACCAGTGTATACCTAGGTTCACTGAAAAAGTTGATCCAATCATACTCAGACCACCCCATTATCATCCCACTTTGGCTTAGACGAAGTCAGTCGCTGGCTCACTCATACCCAGAGCTTGTCCATGAAACCTGTCAGAGATTGGCCCTTTCGCGCGCAGAGTTCATGGGTCCTGCTGGCGTAGAGAAGTCAAAGTTTTTGGGCAACCAAAGGGAGGCGGCCAAGGGTGGTTCACGAGCCCGTTCGTGCCCAAAGTGTTCAGTCACCTCAGGTCGACTGGTTGTTTCCGGGGGTACATCCGTCCTTGCCGAGGGGCCGCTGATCTTCGCGATGACGCAGACATGGCGCTTGGGTCGGCAAGGAGCGCGTCACGAGCGCGGTTGTGCTTGCACCGTTCTCCAAACAAGTCTTGCACTTAGGCGGCTTTTGCGGGCGGCGCCGCCCGTCGCCGCCGTCGCCGTCGCCGTTGCCGCCACTCGGGGCGAGTGGCGACTTTTACGGGCGGCGTCGCCCGTCGCCGCAGTCGCTGTTGCCGCCGTCGCCGCCGCTCGGGGCGATTTGGGTTTTTTTGTGGGCGGTGCCGCCAGTCGACGCCATCGCCGCCGCAGAAATTTTCATTTCTGACAACAGAGATTCGAGCCCCCCTAGGATTGCCCCCCCTTTTGCGCATTGCAATTTACACGCGATTCTGGCCCATCGCCCACCCTATAGATGAGTTCGCACCATCCCAGGGGGGCCGGCATCGACCCCCCCGCCATCCACTGCAACAAATTTCTCATGCGCGCGCACTCGTTCATCAAAAATCAGCAGTTTCCAAAAATCCGTTGCAACGAAAATTGGCCAAGTGCGCACGCGCGCGTCGTCGCGCGCGCATGCAATTTTTCTTCAAAACCTGTTGTCGTCGCAACGATTTCAACACCGAGTACCCACAAACAAAAGGATTCGCAACGCCGATAAAAGCTTGCTCGCTCTTGCGAAGCTTAAGGAAACCATCGGTTTTTCAATGTTCCAGAAAATTTAACCAAAGCGGGTTTCGCGCGCCTTTGCCCGCGCGCCGTCGCGAGAGTCATTTTTACAAACCGCGACGAAGCGTCGCTCGCGCATGCCGAAATCTTTCAGCAGCCATAGGTTTCTTGAGGATTTCCAAACCGCGTGTCCAAAATATTGTTGTTTGTGACAAAATGACTTCGCAGCGTCAGTATTCAAAAAAGCTTGCGCTCGCGCTCTTGCGAAACCTTCAGAAAATTGCTGGCTTATTTCTTCCTGTAGAAAAGTTAGTTGAAGTCTGCCAAACGGGCTTCTCGCGCCGCGTGCCGAACTCATTCGAACGACCTTGCGCGCGGGCTCGAGGGTGTCGCGATCCGTGTCAAATGGTGCCATGCGGCTACTCTCGCGCGTCGGCCGCGCG